ACAGCACTGTGGTGGTGTCCTGGCAATGGGAGGGACAGAGACATACACTGGGACCAGGGACAGTGGGACCACAGTGACAGTGCACCATGGGGCTGGGGTGGTGGCCTGGCACTGGTGGGGACAGAGACACACACTGGGACCAGGGACAGTGGGACCAGTGCACCATGGGGCTGTGGTGGTGTCCTGGCAATGGGAGGGACAGGGACACACACTGGGACCAGTGACAGTGGGACCAGTGCACCACAGCACTGGGGTGGTGTCCTGGCACTGGGGAGGGACAGAGACACACACTGGGACCAGGGACAGTGGGACCAGTGACACACTGGGACCAGTGACAGTGGGACCAGTGCACCACGGGGCTGTGGTGGTGTCCTGGCACTGGGAGGGACAGGGACACTGTGGGACAGACACCCCAGAGCACCGGGAATGGGGCCTGGGGCCACACTCACTGTGGCAGTCGCTGACGTGGATGTCGTAGATGTGGGAGTGGGTTTTGAGGGTGAAGCAGAGCCCCACCAGGTACCCGGCGGGGAGCAGCAGGGACACCGTGTACACCAGGGGCCTGCAGGACGCGGGGGACACGTCAGGGCCACCAGGGCCTGGCCTGGAGACCCCCAGGGGGTGGGGAGCAGCAGGGTTGGGGGAGCAGGAGCAGGACACGCACTGGACGTGGCTGTAGTAGAGGGTGCCGTTGTGGTCCATCTGCGGAGAGAGCACCGGTCAGTGGGGACATGGGGGACAAGGGACAGCCCTGCTGCCACCCCCAGCACCAGAGCTGGGGGGTCAGGGCATCCCCAGCCCCAAAACCCCCGCTAGAAAATCCCAGAGTGTTCCAAGCTGGAAGGGACCCATGAGGGGCATCAAACCCAGCTCGTGGACATGAAGGGCCACACAGGGACTGACCCCACAGCCCTGGCACTGCAGCACCAGGCTCTGACCCACTGGGTTAATCCCAGGCCCATGGTTAATCCCAAACCCAAACTGGAAGGACCCACAAGGATCATCAAGCCCAGTTCATAACTGAACAGCCCATATGGGGACTGAACCCACCACTTGGCACTGCAGCACCAGGCTCTGACCAACTGGGTTAATCCCAAACCTGGGTTTAATCCCAAACCTGTGCTTAATCCCAAAACCGAGCTGGACCCACAGGGATCATCAAGATCAGTTCATAAATGAATGGCCATAGAGGGACTGAACCCACAACCCTGGCATTGCAGCACCAGGCTCTGACCAACTGGGTTAATCCCAAACCTGTGCTTAATCCCAAAACTAAGATGGACCCACAGGGATAATCAAGCTCAGATCATAAATGAATGGCCATACAGGGATTGAACCACCACTTGGCATTTTAGCACCAGGCTCTGACCAACTGGGTTAATCCCAAACTTGTGCTTAATCCCAAACCCAAATTGGAGGGACCCACAAGGATCATCAAGCCCAGTTTACAACTGAACCCCCCCATATGGGGACTGAAACCACCACTTGGCATTGTAGCACCAGGCTCTGACCCACTGGGTTAACCCCAAGCCCGTGGCTGACCCCAAACCTGTGCTGAATCCCAAACCCGAGCTGGACCCACAGGGATCATCAAGCCCAGCTCATAAATGAACGGCCACACAGGGACTGACCCCACAACCCTGGCATTGCAGCACCAGGCTCTGACCCACTGGGTTAACCCCAAGGCCGTGGGTGACCCCGAGCCCCCTGGCAGCCCCCCTGTCCCCTCACCAGGTCGAAGTGGCAGTTGTGACACAGGTAGTGGCCCAGCGGGTTCTGGGTGACGTTGTGGCACTCGCCGCACACCAGCTTCCCGTAGACCTTGGAGAACAGCGTGGGGGCAAAGACTCCTGCGGGCACAGAGGGACACGGGGTGGGCACCCAAACCCCGGTGGGACCCCAGGAGGTGGGGCCAGGCCCGTTTGCCCACTGACCTCCCACGGAGAGGAAGAGCAGGGCGGAGCTGACGCCGGCCGAGCGGCTGTTGAAGCGCTGCTCCTGGTGCCGGATGCCCCCGATGACCATGCACAGACCCTGGGGGCACAGACCCCAAAAACCCCTCAGGGCACAGCTACACACCCGGGGGGGAGGGACACACCAAAAGGGGGGCCTGCCAATAAAAGTGAGGAAGGGGACCCACCCCAAAAGAGGGGAAAGGGGGACCCACCAATAAAAGTGAGGAAGGGACCCACCCCAAAAGAGGGGAAAGGGGGACCTACCCCAACAAAGTTGGGAAAGGACCCACCTATAAAAGTTGGGAAAGGGGGACCACCAGTAAAAGTGGGAAAGGGACCCAGCCCCTAAACAGAAGCTGGAGAAAGGGACCCAGCAATAGAAGTGGGAAAGGGGTATCCACCCCCTTAAACAAAAGTTGGGGAAAGGGAGACCTACCTATAAAAGTGGGAAAGGGACCCACCCCCTTGAATAAAAGTTGGGGAAAGGGACCCACCAATAAAAGTTGGGAGAGACCCAGCAATAGAAGTGGGAAAGGGGTATCCACCCCCTTAAACAAAAGTTGGGGAAAGGGACCCAGCAACAAAAGTTGAGAAAGGGGACCCACCTATAAAAGTGGGAAAGGGGGACCTGCCAATAAAAGGGGGGAAAGGGACCCAGTCATAAAAGTTGGGAAAGGGAGACCTACCTATAAAAGTGGGAAAGGGACCCAACCCCCTTAAATAAAAGTTGGGGAAAGGGACCACACCAAAAAAGTTGAGAGACCCAGCCAATAGAAGTGGAAAGCGTATCCACCCCTTAAACAAAAAGCTTGGGAAGGGGGACCCACCTGGATAAAAAGGGGGAAAGGGGGACCACCCGAATAAAAAGTGGGAAAGGGGGACCTGCCAATAAAAGGGGGAAAGGGGGACCCCCACCAATAAAAGTTGGGAAAGGGGTATCCACTCCCTTAAACAGAAGCTGGGGAAGGGGGACCCACCTATAGAAGTTGGGAAAGGGACCCACCAATAGAAGTTGGGAAAGGGACCCAGCAATAATGGGAAAGGGGGACCCAGCAATAATGGGAAAGGGGGACCCAGCAATAGAAGTTGGGAAAGGGGACCCAGCAATAATGGGAAAGGGGGACCCAGCAATAGAAGTTGGGAAAGGGGACCCACCCCAACAAAGCTGGGAAGGGACTCGCCTATAAAAGTGGGAAAGGGGGACCCTCATCAATAAAAGTGGGGAAGGGGGACCACCAATAAAAGTCGGGAAAGGGGGACCTGCCTATAAAAGTCGGGAAAAGGGGACCCCCACCATAACAGTTGGAAAGGGGCACCCCCACCTATAGAAGTGGGAAAGGGGGACCCACTCATAAAAGTGGGAAAGGGACTCACCCCCTTAAACAAAAGCTGGGGAAAGGGACCCAGCAATAAAAGTTGGGAAAGGGGAACCCACCTATAAAAGTTGGGAAAGGGAGAACTGCCTATAAAAGTTGGGAAAGGGGGACCCACCAATAAAAGTTGGGAAAGGGGGACCCACCAATAAAAGTTGGGAAAGGGGGACCCACCAATAAAAGTTGGGAAAGGGGGACCAGCCTATAAAAGACGGGAAAAGGGGACCCCCACCTATAAAAGTGGGAAAGGGGCACCCCCGCCCATAGAAGTGGGAAAGGGGGACCCACTTATAAAAGTGGGAAAGGGACTCACACCCTTAAACAAAAGCTGGGGAAAAGGACCCAGCAATAAAAGTTGGGGAAGGGGGACCCACCTATAAAAGTTGGGAAAGGGAGACCTGCCTATAAAAGTGGGGAAAGGGGACCCACCCCAACAAAGCTGAGAAGGGACCCGCCAATAAAAGCTGGGAAAGGGAGACCCACCTATAAAAGTTGGGGAAGGGAGACCTGCCTATAAAAGTTGGGGAAGGGGGACCCACCAATAAAAGTTGGGAAAGGGAGCCACCTATAAAAGTGGGAAAGGGAGCCACCCCCTTAAACAAAAGTTGGGGAAGGGGGACCCTCCAATAAGAGGGGGAAAGGGAGTCACCCCAACAAAGGGGGAAAGGGGGACCCGCCCAAACAGGGAAGGGCCCTGCCAGGCTCAGAGCCCGAGCGCTGCCATCCCCCCCCGTCCCCCCCGCCCCTCTCACCGGCACGAAGAGCACGCAGCCCACCAGGGTGCCCGTCAGCGCCGACTTGACCACCTCGGCGTAGCAGGCGCTGCCCTCGCGGGAGCCCTTGAGCAGGGCGCTGATGTAGAAGGTGAGCTCGGTGACGGAGCCGAAGGTGGCGTTCACCACCGCCCCCACCGCGAACGTGCTCTGCGCCGAGATGCTGCGGGAGGGAACGGAGCTGGGGACGGCTGGAGAGCTCCACAGGGAGCTGGGGGGGCTCAGCCTGGAGACAAAGGGGGGTCGGGGAGGACCTTCTTGGTCTGCAAGCGCCCTGAACAGGAGGGGGGACCGGGGGGTCGGGCTGCTGCTGCAGGGAAAAAGGACAGGAGGAGAGGGATAACGGCCCTCCAGGCTGGGCCAGGGGAGAGGTCAGGCTGACATGAGGACGGAATTTCTCCATGAAATGGGGTTATTAAGCATTGGCAGGGCTGCCCAGGGAGGTTTGGAGTGCCCAGCCCTGGAGGTGTCCCAGGAAGGCCTGGCCGTGGCACTCAGTGCTCTGGGCTGGGGGACAAGGTGGTGTTTCTTGGGACTAAGGTTGGACTCTGATCTCAGAGGGCTTTTCCAGCCTGTGACTGTGTGACTGACCGTCCTCCCTGCTCCCAGTCCCACTGCTCCCAGTGAGGGCTGGGCCACAGGTTGCTCCAAGAGGCTCCCTCCTGCAGCCAAAGGCCCTTTACCACCCCCCCCCAGGTATCTCCCTCTGGTTTTGTTGGATTCCTGGTGCCAAGTGAGGCCTGCAGAGACCCAAACCTCTGCCATGTGCACCCAGAGCACGGATGGGGAACCTTGGTTTGTAGCCTTCACCCCTGAGAGGTGCCAAATTCCTCAGAACCTTCAAAAACATGGATTTTGCCACGTGGCTGCCCTGGCAGATCCAAGCTTTACGTTGTTGGGGGGGGGAAAACCAGGTGGAAATTTGGGATACAAACAGGAGATGGCGTCGAGATCCAACACAAAACACACACAGAGCCCAGGAGGAGCCAATTGAGGGTGGAACAACACTGAGAACAGCTGGGAAACATGGGCAGATCCCATGGGATGTGCCAGTCCTACAGAACTGAGCGTTCCCGGCCGGTGTCCCCGGGCTGCCCCGGCTCACCTGGCGATGGCCATCCCGATGTAGTAGGACAGGGGCATGATGGAGAGCAGGGCCAGGGAGAACTTGAGGGTGGAGCTGCTCAGGTGGTTGTGGCTGTCCAGGTAGCCCAGCAGCAGCGTCACCACCACCAGTGGCAGCAGGTCTGGGGAGGGTGTCAAGGACACTACAGAGCAGGGTGGGGTTTGGGGTCAGCTCCCTCCCCTTCCCCTCTATCCCCCCCAACAGCAGCAGGTCTGGGGAGGGTGTCAAGGACACTACAGAGCAGGGTGGGGTTAGGGGTCAGCTCACCCCCCTTCCCAGTCCATCCCACCCCATCACCAGCAGGTCTGGAGGGTGTCAAGGACACTACAGAGTAGGGTGGGGTTTGGGGTCAGCTCACCCCCTTCCCCTCCATTCCCAGTCCGTCCCCCCCAACACCAGCAGGTTTGGGGGGGCTGGTCAAGGAGGTGCCCGAGGTGGGGTGGGATTTGGGGTCACCTCCCCACCACCATTCCCATTCTGTTCCACCCCGTCACCAGCACCAGGTCCAGGGTTGGTCAAGGAGATAGGTGAGATGTGGGGGGGCTGTTCCCAAATCCCACCCCTCAATTCCCAGTCCATCCCACCCCATCACCAGCAAGTCTAGGGGGACCAGTCAAGGAGCTGGCTGAGGAGGGGTGGGATTGGGATCAGCCCCCCCATCACCAGCAGGTCTGGGGGGTTGGTCACGGAGATGCTCGAGGTGGGGTGGGATTTGGGGTCACCCCCCCACCCCCATTCCCAGTCTGTTCCACCCCATCACCACCAGGTCTGGGGTGGGGGGGCCTGGTCAAGGAGACAACCAAGGTGGGGTGGGATTTGGGGTCATCTCCCCCTTCCCCACCATTCCCAGTCCATCCCACCCCATCACCAGCAGGTCTGGGGGTCGGTCCCGGAGCCGGCCGAGGTTTGGTGGGATGTGGGGTGGGATTTGGGGTCCCGTCCCCAGCGCTGCCCCAGGATACTGACGGCGAAGACGTTGAGGCCGTGCACGGAGTACTTGTAGTAGTAGGGGTTGGCGGCGCGGTAGCAGCACAGGATCACCTCCCCCTCCAGCGGCACCTCCGTCTGGGGGGGCACACAGTTG